GGCTGGGCAGTGGTTAGTACTAGATGGCCTGCCCAGGAGGAAGGGCCTCAGAGCTGGGTGGAGAGAAGCTGAACCTGCCTGTGAATTTTGGACTGAAGATAAGAGCAAGGGAGAGTTTGGTCAGCTCCTCTCCCTCTGCCCAGAGTCGGGGCTGCCAGGTTGAGGTGTGTCCCAGAGACTGACCAGGTGCCACCTGCCTGCCCAGCTAGGGCAGTTGGCCTCGTTGCCCTGTGATCCAAGGGCTTAGGCCCTCTGATGCTGAATATATGATGGACTTTTATTGCCAGGTGGGCAAGGCCATAGGCTTCAGAGTGTCCAAGGGCAGAAACTAGAGAAACCAGGGGACCACTGCTTGGACAGTCAGTTGTGGATCAGAGGACCCAGAAGCAATGGAGCAATGGATTGTACAAAGTTTTCTTTTTTTTTTATACTAGGGATCGAACTTGGGACCTTGCGCTTTCAAGGCAGGCGGCAGAACCACTGAGCTAAATCCCAGGTCCCTATAGTTTTATTTTCTAATGACAGTTTCATTGAAGTTTGATAACAGAAAGGGAGAAGCAAGGAGTGACTGATTTATGACCTCTCGGTGGTGGTGGGGGACACCGTGGATCCCAGCATAAGCCTGAGGCCTCGTCACTCTCCATCCTGCACTGGCTGCCTCCTGCAGGTCCCTCTGGACTTGGGTGATGGCTTCTGAACCATGTGTGCTGGTAAATGCCCGGGGAATTAGCTTGTTTCTGCAGCCCTGCTCAGTGTGGGTGGGTGCCTGGACTTAAGCCTCTGCCCCTCTGCAGTAGTGGACCTGTACCCATAAAGAGCTAGGGCTCTGCTATAGCCAGCAGGGTGCTGGGGGGGGGGGCTCTTGGGAAGGCTGCATCTCCAGGCCAGCCCTGAAAATGTGGGTGTCCAAGGTGTCTGTCATTCTCACCAAAAGTGATCTGGTTTTTGGAGTTTGTTTTCTGAAAAGTTAGATTTAATAGACTTGATTTCTCACTTAAAAAATTGCTCCTGGGCCGCGGATTTAGCTCAGTGGTTTTGCTGACTGCTGCACAAGCGCAAGGACCCGATTTCGATCCCCGGTACCAAAGGAAAAAAAATTGCTCTAGTAGCCAGGCGTGGTGGTGCACGCCTGTAATCCCAGCACTTGGGAGGCTGAGGCAGGAGGATCACCATGAGTTTGAGGCCAGCCTGGGCTACATAGTGAGTTCAGGGCCAGTCTGAACTACATAGTGAGACCCTGTCTCAAAAAAAAAAAAAATTAGGGTATCAAAATCTTAGATAGACCCATGTCTGACAAAACTGGGGATCCTGTGGCAAAACTCTGGGAGCTATGGGAAAAGTCTATTGGGTAACTGGATAAGGATCCCATACCCCCCTCCCTACCAAATGGGTCCAAATTTTAATTGGTCCCTGTCTGTAGCTAACAAGGTCTGTAGGAAAAGAACCCTATCTTAGTCATCTATGTCCCCAGTGCAACACTAGGATAGTAGATGCCCAATAATATGCATCAGCTGGTTGGAGGGAGAGTGAGCAAGTGTATATGCGCACATATAGCCCCATGGGCCATGATTCCCTGTGGGTCTCATCTTGTCATTAAGGAATTGAGTTCCTTGGGTTGAAGGAGGTATGGTGTGGTGTGGGACACTGGATTCAGACCCCCACTCTGCTACTGGTGCTGGGCCTCTGGGCAGTTAGTTGATACAAGCTTTTGAGGGGCAGTTACTAGATCTGGAGATGGGTCTGCCCCAGGTGCCAGCTTTGTGGGGACACAGTGAGGAAATCCATAAAATTCCTGCCCCGAAGTCCCACACATGTGGCCACTGGATGCTCTTTATTATGGGGTGACTTCCATGACAAACAGAGTCCACCTATTCCCTATGGGACCTGGGGAAGGTCCAGGTGGGGTCTGTTTGGGTGGACAGTTCAGCCATCTGAGCCAGAGAAGCTGTGTGTGGAGTGGCTGGCAGCTGCAGGAGGGCCCAGGTTTTCATATGGCCCCCATTCAAGAACTGTGCACTGGGACTAGAGTCCTTAATTGTCAAATTAATGCAGCGTCCTCATTAAACACCAAGATCATGCCAAGCAATTCTGTTGATTCAACAAGTCTTGCCAGCCTCGTGGGGAATTCAGAAAACATGCAGCCTGGTTCCTGCTCTTTTCTTTTCTTTCCTCTTCTCTTCTTTTCTCTTCTTTTCCCTTCTTTTCCCTTCTTTTCCCTTCTTTTCTCTTCTTTTCTCTTCTTTTCTCTTTTCTTCTTTCTGTGCTGGAGGTGGAAGCCAGAGCCTTGCCCATCTTGGGCAAAGGCTGTGTCACTGAGCCCCAGCCCTTGGTCCCACTCTTGGAGAGGCATAGGGTTTTCTTGGGAAAGACACAGCTGAGAGCAATAGCACAGTGGCTGCTGTGCTGGGCGAATGGTGTGGGCCGCTCCAAACAGGGGTAATAGAGAATGAGCGGGAATGACGGAGTAGTGAATTGGGAATGGGATTTGGAACATAGCAGTGGGCTTTCTAGGGAAAGGACAGCTTTGGACAGAGGTGGGGGTGGGAAAGAGGGCATGTCTAGGCCTTGGCAATGGCACAGATCTGGCTTTACCACTTGCAGGCACATGTGCCTTGGGCAAGTGCCTTCAGCTCTTGAAACCCATTTCCTCGTCTGTAGGATGGGCTAAGAACTGTGCCTACCTGGTGGGCCTGTGGGGAGGGTAGAAAAGAAGGGAAGCACTTGGCACCTGAAAAGCTTTGGCCTGTGTCCTCATTGATGTGGACTTGGCCACGCAAGGGTGGCAGAGTACGAAGCCTTCACTGCACCCCAGCCATCCACCTGCTCCTGCTCCCCATGAGGCCCCTTAGTTTTTGTGGGGCCTTAGTTTAGTTTTCACAAGCCTTTGAGCCTGCCAGAGGGAAGGTACAGCCCTGCCCAGTGATATGCAGTTTGGGAGGGGCCGCTCCTGTGTGGCTCTGCTGCCCACCCTTGACCACAGAAGCCTCCTTGTCACTACAGACCCAGCAGCTGTGCCCAGCTAGTGTTGCCTGTGCCTGGGTTGCAGGCTACATGGACCCATGCAGCCCCTTCCTCACTTCCTGCAGCCTTTGCTCAGTACCCCTGATCAGTTGAGTCTTCTCAGATGTCCTGGCAATCCTGCCCTATGGATCACTCTCCCCCACTTTCTCCACTTTATAGCCCTTGTGACCACTGGTATTAGGCGTTTTTCTGCATATTGTCTCCTCCACTGGTAGTAAGCACCAGGAAGGCAGCGACCGGTCTGATCCACAGCTCACTTTCCCACCACCTAGCCAGTGGTTGGCCCATAGTCAATGTTCAGTAAATACTTGTTGAATGGATGAGTGGAGAGTTTAAGCAGGTGGTGCTTCCCAATGCTCATAGGATGCCCAGTCTAATTCATTCCAAAAATGCCCAAGCATCTTCTGCTTCTGCACCATGCAGAGATGAGGATGTCCTGTTCCTGGCTCCCAGAATCTGGCCATCAGGGAAGAAGGAAAGGAAACAACTTGCCCAGTGGTCTTCCTTTGTTGTTTCCAAGAGACCCACACACACTGCCACCCTCCCCACCCTGACAATCCTAGTGTTGGGGAGAGTTTTGTCCCTTTGTACCCTTCCAGAAGAGAGAGTCTTTTGCCTCCCATGAGTGAGTGAGCAGGAGTAGGTTTTCAGGAGCAGACAGCTTGGGGGCGGGTGAGCAGGAGTACAGGGTGTGTGTGTGTGTGGAGAGAGAGCACACAGGGGCTTCGAGCCCATGTGGTGGCCCAACTCCTGTCCTCTGGACTCAGCATGAAGGGTCCTCCCTAGCTGTACGGAAACTGTGAATTCCAGGAAACTCCCTGCCAGCCATCAGTGGGGGAGGGCATGGAGGCTGATGGCCGGTTCCCTAGTACTCAGAGCAGATGTGTCTGCCCCAGGGACAGCAGCCCAAGAAAGTTCAAACCAAAGTGTGTTTTCTCACTATAAAAGAGACGTCTGTGAGGGCCCTGGAGGGGAGGCTTGGGGTTGCTCTGCCAGAGCCCTGACTGGGCCCACAGAGGCCATTGTATCTTGCTGGGGCGGGGGGAGGAAAGGGGGCCAAAGCCAGAACTCTGAGAGTGGAGCTGCTGGGTCATCTTTCCTGCACTTTACAGCCAGCTCCCAAACACAGTTGCTTGCTGCTCCTGAAAGAGGCTGGGCCAGAAGGAGGTGGGGTCCCTTCCTGCTGGAGGGCTGGATTGAAGGGGCCCCGCCCCGGGGGTTCCTGGATGACTGGCCAAGGGCTCACTGAGAGGGGAGAGGAGGCAGCAGGCGTGGTCCTCTCCTGCAGGCCATCCGGCTGTTTGTAAGGCCCTGGAGGCCCCCCAGGGCCTTGAGCCTGAACCCCCTTTGCAGTCTGATGGGAACCCTGGTCTGCCCCACCCCCTTCCTCCTCTACACTTCTAGGGCTGGCCTTTTCAGCCCTGGAAGCCACCCAAGAGCATATCTTTGAAGCACAGCAAAGGTTAGGAAGGAGGAAGACAGAAATGTCCTCTGGGCTGGGGGAGTGGGAGAAAGGAATTCCATGCATGCTCCACAGGAGTCAGAGGCAGGCCTGGAGGGGGCAGCCACCTCCCCTCCTTAGTGCCCAGCCGGTCCTGCTACCCACTGAAGGCTGCCTGCTCTGTTCAGAGGGAGCCCTCTTCCCTGCCTTGGGTAGGGAGCAGTGGCCCTTGTTTACAGTGCTGGTTTCAACCTTGGCTCACAAGGGTAAGAGCCAGGCCCTGCTATCCGCCCCTACAGGATGTAAGACCTCATAATTGTCTTCAATTACAGACAGTGAGGCCGACAGGAACCAGAGCCCAAGCTGCTTTCATAGGGGTGGGGGATGTGTCACCCAGCCCTCAGTGCAAGGTTTGGGGGCTCTCTGTGCCCCCTGAGATCCTTCCAAATGCCCTTAAGCCCCAGAGTCTACCAGAAGGCTGCGTGGGGCCCTGGGAGAGCCATCCCTGATGAATGCCGGCCCTCTTTGTCTTCCTCAGGATGAGACCTCTGTGAGCAGTGAAGACTTTGATATGAATGACTCCACATGGATGTCCGCTGACCCACACCTGGCCTCCAGCCTGAGCCCCAGCCAGGACGAGAGGATGCAGAGCCCGCAGAACCTCCACAACCAAGAGGATGGTGAGTGCCCCTGGGCGGCCGGTGGGGTGGGAGTAAATTGTCTTGTGAGTGGCTGCACCCATTCTGGGTGGGGGGATTTGGGTGAGGACTCTGGGGGTGGTGCCGCTGTACTTAGAGCCACTTCCAGTGTTTCCAGCGTCTCTGTGGGTCCCACTGCACCCAGCCCCTGGTTCTAGAGACAGCAGGTCACCCCTTCCAAAGGTGACTGGGGAGAGCCCTTGGGCTGCAGCCTGTAGGTGTCATGCCTATTTGATTATTGTAATGCTCTAGAGCTGGTGTGACATGGATTTCAAAGTTGTCAGGATTTGGTCTTGGAAGGTAATAATGTGCCTGCCCCAGAGCAGTACAGCTGCCCAGCACTAGACTCAAGGGCTGTGTTCCCACAGCTCCAAGAAAGCTTACTGTGGGATAGGGTCACCTGGTGAGTGACCGGGCAGTGCAAGTTGCCATTGCATGCCCTGGCCTTCACAGCCATCCACGGCTGCTCTGGAAATAGAGATTTTCTTCTCGGGGATTGGAGAGTAGGTCAGGAGTCAGGTTCTGAAGAAAACCTGGAGGGTTGGGCTCTGGGGCTCTGGTGTCTACCTCAGTTTGAAGCACTGTGAGCATGGGGTGGCACCTATGATCATAGTACCCTGGTGGGGCTCTTATTTCCAGGGAGGACATGACTGGGATTGGGGGATAGCCTGAAGCTAGGCCTCAAGAGAACTGGGGTGTAAGAGCTGGCAATTAGAAGGGGTTGAAGGTCAAGGCCTGGAATGTAAAGGGAGGCGCAGGGTTAAAAAGGGGTGTAATGTTAACTCTGTGAACCGAGTTAGCCTTAAAGAGTAAATAAGGGATAGGAGCCTTGCAGTTTGGGTCAAAGTTCATCTCCATGGCAGAACCCACACGCCTGCCTCTGCCTGCCTCCCAACTGCCCTCCCAGGCTGAATCCTGCTTTGTCTGGGAGGAGACCCAGCCTTCAGGCAGCTGAAAGTGTCTGGGGCAGGGGCTAGGGAGCCCAGGGGATGGCTGTGTGAGTAGTGGGGTTCGATGCTGCTGGGAAAGAAAAGGCCTTTGTGCCTTCATGCCTCGTGAGGTCAGCGAGACCCTGTGTGCTGTGAGCCTCACAGACCATTGCCACTGCCCAGTGTTCCCACGGGGTGGGGACCCAGTGGGGGCTGCCACATGCTGCTGGGGGCTCTGGGCTAGGATGTCCCCAGATGTTGACCTCCTGCCTCATCTGAGCTGACTGAGGGCCACACCCCAAATCACCAAGGGCTATGTCAGCAATGCTCAGGCAAGAGCCATCGGTTGTATCTTTCCAAGAAGGATCCAGAACATTTTCTCAAAACCCAGAGTTTAAGACAATATTCCCCCTGTGCATTCCCAAAAAAGTCTCATACTGCTGTTCCTCACAGCCACTCTGTGGGAGAGGGGTCACTGTATGAGATACTTCCCTGGGAGATAAGGTGGTCCAGGGCCCTCAGGACCAGGCACCAGACAGCAGAGTTTCTGTGAGGACCATGGGGGTCCTTGGCATGTTGCCAGTGGTCCAGAGCTTGACTGATGATGCAGATGAGGAAGAGAGCCGCAGAAAAACTCTGGGATAGTTTTGTCCTTCCACTGTCTAACCCTGGGGGTGGGTGCAGGGCTGAGGCAGGCTGGCTCGCTGACAGGACAGGGTGTTCATCAGGGTGGACAGCCAGAGCTGGAGACAGGAGGAGGTTGTTGACCATGGTACTAACAATTTAATTATTTAATCAGCAGCTGTGTCTGGACACTGGATTGATGTGCTGGCCAGAGGCTGGCCTAGGCCCGATGCAGGGTCCCAGGCCATGAGGAGGTCCAGATGGCTGGTCTGGTCTCTGCTGTCCCTTCTGGTCCCTTGGGCCTGGTGGTGACCACCTTGTCTGGCCAAAGGGTTGCCAGGAGGATGTTGGCTAGGCATGAACATACCACCTGGACTCTGAGTCTCAAACGCTAGTTCCTCTCTGAGCATGTGGACAGGTCAGCTCCCCTGAGTGAATCTGAGGAGAACTTCAGCACCTTCAGGGTGTGTGGTCACGTTCCCTGTTGTTATTAACAAAGGCCTAGGGTAAGGATAGGGTGAGGGCAGGCCGGGTAGGTGGCTCTGGAGGGTGGGCCCTGCCCTCCACACCCAGCCCGAGCCCTGCTCATGCGCCTTATTCTGGAAGTCTCCCCAGTCCACTGACCCAAGGGGAGGTTGGTGTGTGGCCGGTGGCCCTCATTCCCCCATGGACACTGCATGTTGTAAAGATGGATGTCTAAGGCCCCCATTGTAAACTCTGCAAATTGCACCATGTCACTTTGGTCTCTGCTCTGGTGACTGCAGATACAGGGTGGGTATGTGGTAGGCCCTGCTAAATACCTGCTCCCCAAATGAACAAACATTTATTGAGAGCTACCCCTGGGAACCCCATCCAGAGGAGACAGAGGCGCACTCCTTGTTGGGGACAAATTGGGTTCTTTGCTGCTGAACACCTGGCTCTTTTCCCTTGGCTAGAAAGGATAGGAATCCCATGGCCATGTCATTCCCACCCCTGTTGACCACTACTGTAGCCCTTTAAGAAGCCAGGAAATTGGCATAAATTCATACCTGGTAGCAGATTTGTGAAAGCCTTTCTTGTTTTTAATTTTTTATCAAAGGCAGATGGGGACTAGACCATCAAGACCTCTGAACCTGAGAGTGATTGGAGAAGGTACCTGCTTTCCCCCCGGAGCTGGGCTGAGTCACCTGGCTGGCATGGGGACCAGCTTGCCCTGTGCCACAGTTAGGCTTTGGCCACAGCCCTGTCCCTGCTTGCAAGCCTTCTGCATAGACCTCATTATGGCTGTTTCCTGGACCTGACACTGAGGTCCCGTTTCTGGGTCCCCAAAGTCATAGGTGGTGGTGGCAAGCACCACTCCCTCACTCAGGGCAGTAGCTGCATGTGTGGGAGGTCATTGCTCTTGCTCTATCTGCAGAGGAGGAAACAAGAGTGGGAGAGGCTGGGCGCCGGGCAGATACAAGAGCAAGGGCACCACCGCTCTATCTTCCTCCCTGCTCTGGAAGGTATGGGGTCACTGTGCGAGGGTCCCTACCTCTCCAGTCCTGCTACTGAGCCCAGCTGAGACTTTGGGCTGCTTTTGGGCTCTGTGCAACTTGGGAGGCACCTGGGAAGCCACTGCGGTCTGGCAGCTGCCTTTGGGTGTGGAGGGAGCAGGCCAAGGAGCAGCTGGCTGTGAGACTTTGTCCTGAGACACTGCGGAGTGGCGTTGCCTGGGGGCTGATGTCAGTTTGTCACAATGCCCCATCTTTGGAGTTACCTGTTTCATGCTTGTCTTACACCCTACTGGAAGCACACAAGCACCCAGAGCAGATGCCGGGCATGTGGCTGGTGAGTGAATGAGTGGGGGAAACAGTGCAAGGCACTCACACTCGGGCCTGCGAACCACAGGCTGGCGGGAGCTCAGGTACATGGTGCCCGTCCTGACCTCACACACTGGACCTCCTCCTGTTTCCCTTGATGTGCTCCCCCAGGCCTCTCACTCTGCCCCTTCCTGAATGGAAAATGTGAGGCCTGGCCTCCAGAAAGGATGCCTGGGTTGGGGAGCGGACATTACTCACCTCTCAGGCAGACAGGAAGCCAGCGCCAGGGAGAGTGGAAGGTCCTGCTCACATGGGTCCCAGCTTCCACCTTCCGAAGCATAGGTGACTAGGGTTCCTGGAAAGGAGCTGAGGACCCTGGAACGTTCTTGGCTTCTGGGACCTACTGGCCATGGGGGCTTATTTCTGCTACGAGGATGGACTTCCTGTCCGAAGAGCAGAGGTCTGGGGCTCGATGCCTGCTGCCAACCCCTCTGGTGCCTGAGGCTGGACCAAGGGAGAGAGAAAAGGACCTTTGGCTTTCTCTGGCTCTTTGTCCACTTTTAGTGATGCAAGTGTTGAGTACCTTGCTGTGCAGGGCCGATGAGCACCTACTGCCTGCACATTCAAGGAGACCACACCTTGATGGAGGAGGGACAGCAACATGGAAGGTGGGGCTTTGCCAGGCTATCAGCATTCAGAGGGCAGTAGCTTTGTCTTTGTAGAAAAGCATATTGGCAAGAGGCTGAGGCAGGAAAATCTTGAGTTGGAAGCCAGCCTAGGCTACATAGTGAGACCCTGCCTTAAAAGGCAGGACATCTTGGTTTTCTTCTTCCCAGGTATCACATTCATTATAGAAACTTTAGAAAAATGAAGGAGCAAAAGAAAAGAAAAAATTTAAAATGCCAATGTTGAGGGTATATATTTTTCTCAAACTTTTCTGTGTATGTGGTCAAAGCTTCATTTTCTTTTTCCTTTTTTTCCTGTGTGTGTGTGTGTGTGTGTGTGTGTGTGTGTGTGTGTGTGTGTGATTGGTTTTTTGAGACAAGGTCTCACTATGTAGTCCAGGCTAGTCTTGAACTCACAATCCTCAGTGTCCCAAAATACTTTGTGTTCTTTTAAAAGAGGGTGGGGGATCATGTTATGTGGCAGCTCCCTCCCCCACTTGATGGCATTCACCTCCCTCCCTGTCACTGATGTGGATCCACCCCAGTCTTATAGGTTGTTCTGTCCACCAGTGCCTGGAGGTCCTTCCCTCGAGTCCAGCATTTACCCAACCCCAACCCAGAGCTCAGACTGACTGTTCCCATCCCACAGAGGAGGAACCCTCTCCAATGGGAAAGTAACTTGCCCAGGCCAAGGGGAACGAGGCTGTCTGGGGCCAGCATTTGGGCCACGCCTGTGAAGAACATTCAGGTCTTTTTTGCTACTGCCAGTGGGGCTGTAGGAAGCATCCTAAACTGCCCAGGTCCCTGTCCTGGGCTTCATCCCAGCCCCACTGAAGCATAGGTGCTTAATATATGGGGGAGGAGACCCATGGACAAAGGAGCCTGGTCAGCCACGGTTCAACAGGAGGCTGAGAGGAGGATGCGAAGGGTGGGCCTGGGGCTTCCTAGGCCACATGTCTCCAAAAGTTCCCTATGACTCCAGG